CAAAAAAATTAAAATAACATCAACTCTTATTTTAATTTGTTTGTACTTTGTAGTTATTAATAGTATTTTTTGTATCCTGTTCTTTATAGCCCTGATGAAGCCCTACAACACTGGCTATAAATAAATATTAAACCAACATAATGAGTGATTGTTGACTGCACCTTCTCCTTCCTTACTAACAATTTCTGTAGTATAATTAATAAGTATTATCAATTATTATTTCCATACCATCTAAATAGGCAATTTTCACTTAGGTGAGGCAAACCTATATAGCTGGTTAGTTGAAAATTATTTGCAGTAAATATGGAGTTATTTTAGCTATTAAACTGTTCCAATTCCTAATTTTTACAGTTTAGTCATCTGTAAGTTGAAATGAACTTTCTTTTATAAGCTATAAAAATTAACTACCATGAGAACTTAAATTAATTAAATTTGGCCTCAGCTACAAAATATAAAATGCAATTAATTATTTTCTTACTGAGATAGAAGTTATTATTTATAGTCACAGCAATACTCATATGACGACATAGGTTTCAGTGTGTGAAATAGCCATCCTTTCATTGATATTTCCTATTACAACAGAATTCTGGGTACTTGTCTATTATACGGGCCCCTGTGATATGATTCCAAATATCATTGAAATTTTGAACAAGATTAACTAGTTGGCCTTTGCGATTAATTTGCATATCAATTAGTTAATAAACAAATGGCAATATACCTAGTTCTTTCATAAATATTGTAACAAGGAAGTATATACAGATTTCAACTTCCTGGAATTCACTACCTATCAAAATTCGGCATTTCCCCTCCATATCCACATTCAAAACCTTCCTATTCCAATTCCTATCCCAAAAACAGTCATATGCTTGCTAAACTTTTGATATACAAAAGTCATTTATACATCTGTACTATTCCATACTGTAAACTTCACCAGGGGTTTTAGAATATCTTCCTACTCTCAATGCCACTGAATGCATCTATTGTTTTTTCATTATTTTTATTCTTATACAAATAGTTACAATAAGATAATGATGTGTTTAGATATTATTCATTATTTAAATACTCTGACATTATATATTGTCAGATTTGTCTTTCCTTTGTTAGCAGAAACACAGCTCATTTTAAAGTAGAACTCAATGTATTTTTCATTATTTTATTTTTCAAAAGTGTATAATTATAATTTTTCCTACTGTACATAGTTTTAAGTGTTTTATCATAGTTTTAAGTGTTTTGTATATAGATTTTTTTTTTTTTGTATATAGCTTGTTTAACTAATATTTTCTTTACTTTCTGTTTTTTTTTATTATTGTTTTATTTTGGCCAGATGTAGTCTTTTAATTATATACTATTTTGTTATTCTAAAGGTACTTTGTCCCAGAATAAGGTTACTTTGTATTTCTATTTCAATTTCTAAATAATTTGATGTAGGAATTTGGTCAGTGATCAAAAGACAAAATAGTAATGATGTATAATAATAATAAGGCTTAGCAAATCTGAATGTTTGATGCCAATATCACCAATCAATATCCACATTTTTCCATCTACCAGACGAAATTTAAAATCCAACCCCAAATGATCAGGCTTAACGCAATCTTCCCACCTTTGATACGATCTATCCCTCAGATACTTTCCAATCAACACATTATGAATCTTTTTAGAAATTCTTTTGTTACTAATCCCAGTGACTTTACATGGCCATTTCAACTTAATCGTCTCAATTGTAATAACTGGGTACAGTTTGTGCAATTCAGTGTTGTGTTTTAAGCTACACCTTTGTTAATACTTCATTAAATCCAATGATTGAGCCCTCATTATCATAACTTTCTTCTCCTTCAGATGAGAAATAGTTATGAACGTTTCTCTTTAGGAAGAGAAACATTTTTGTGAAAAACTAAAAAAGTATAAGTTTATTTGTTTTTTGCACCTAATAAAATTTAATAAATACCCTACAAAACAAAAAATATCATTAAAATTGGAGCATTAGGAAAGATACAGCTTATTGTAACTTTTAAACATGTTGGTGTAAATCATAAATGAAGTTTTAAAATCATTTTATTTTCATAAGTGGATTACAATCCCTGAGTAAATAAGAAATGATTCCTATATGTTATGATGATATGTTGCATTATTTTATAACCTCATTATTTTGTGTTTTGTTCACTGACCAAACTCATATGCAAATTATTCACATGCACGGGTCAGCTAATGTATATACTAGTACCACAACCAGAGGGATCAATTTCCAGACTTGTGGGCGGATGAAATACTAACGGAGGGATTGATCCCTCAGAAGATTGATCTTCTGACTTAGTATACAGGACTAGTATATACTCACACTAGTACCAGTAGCGTATATACTCACACTAGTACCAGTAGCGCATATACTCACACTAGTACCAGTAGCGTATATACTAATACTAGTAGCGTATATACTAGTACTAGTAGCGTATATACTAGTACTAGTAGCGTATATACTAGTACTAGTAGCGTATATACTAGTACTAGTAGCGTATATACTAGTACTAGTAGCTTATATACTAGTACTAGTAGCGTATATACTAGTTACCCCATTCGTGTGATTAATTTGCATATGAGTTTGGTCAGTGAACAAAAACAAAATATTGATTATATCAAAATAATGCAACATATCATAAGATAAAGGAATCGTTTGTTATTAACTCTGGGATTGTAATCGACCAAGGAAAAGAAAATGATTTTAAAACTTCATTTATGATTTAAAAATTACAATAAGCTATATCTTTCCTAATGGTCCAATTTTAATGATTCTTTTTTGTTTTGTAGGGAATTTATTAACTTTTCATAGCGAAAAACCTGCCTTGAAGCCCTGACGGTGAGAGGTGATAATATAAATGGGGGTGTAGGAATAGAAGTGGAACTACGATGAAGCAAAGCCAGGAAGGAGAAAATATGTCTGTCGGTACATTGATGGCTCCTGGATTTTTGGGACTTTCGAAAGGGGTACTAAGAAACGTTTTTTGTAAATGTCCTGGATACGAAAGCAGACACCCTCATAGGTGTAATTCTTTGAAGAATTTCAAAAAACAATTAAATTGATGCTTTTTGAGTTTTTTGCAAATTAAGTTTCTCTTCCTTCATAACTATTTTATTGTCTTCACCTGAAGAAGAAAGTCATAATAATGAGGCCTCCATAATTGGATTTTATGAAGTATTAATGAAGATATAATGTGCTTAAAAGAAGAGAAAAGATTTTACCTATAACTACCCGTGTAATAGACTAGTGCCAAATTATTCTAGCTAACCCACCATGTGATTTTTCCTTACAATTCTAGGTATGCGATGATTTTAAGATGCAACAAGTCCACAATGGTCATCATATCAGGTCATCTCTCCTTGAAAACTACATGCAAATTTATTTACAGGGAGATTTGTATTGGTGCGCTAATAGAGAGGTCGAGATTGATGAAGCTAAGCTTGGAAAGTGAAAATATCTACCAACATGAAAATATGTTGGTAAATGAATTGATGGTTTGTTCATGGGTATTTGAAAGAACTAGGAGGTGCTTTTTAGATAACGTACCTTACAGAAAGGCTGATAGGTGGCAAGGGTACAAGCCCCTTATATTACAACACCTAGATTTGGAAAGAGAAAAATCACATGGCGGGTTATCCTGGAGTTCTGTTAGAAGAGAAAATAACAAAGTATCATTCATTCACTCTAAAACCTGTAACAACAATAAATTAAGTGATAAAACATTGAATTTCTTATTAAAAAATTGAATATAGACACAACTGTTATCTTCCTCAGTGGCACTCATAACATCAAGAGTTTTTTTTAATAATAATTGGTAATGAAGTTATGTTTCAAATTCTTACCTCCAAATACAGTGAATCTGAAATTAGACACATCTCAAGATCAGAGACATGGGGTAAAAAGAAGCCAATGACAGGTCTGTAACAATAATAAATGATGTCAGCTAAAACAATTAAATAGATATTGTTATCTGCCTTAGCGGCACTCATGTGAAAATGTCAATGTTATTAAAATTGTTATTGATGTAGTAATGTTGAAATACTTACCTCATACACAAAATATTATAGACCATGTGCGTTCAAATTTACTAGGCATCATTGAAAGGTGTCTGTAATAATAAGTTATTTGACAGATAATATTGAAATGGTACTTAAGCTAAATTACTAATAATTTCTTGGTTATCAAATAATAGTAATTCATTTTAATAAATTATGTAATAATATTTAATTACCTGAATACTAATTTGTCGGGAATCTCTACAAAATTTCCCACAATGTGGACAGGTGTACATGCGTCTCATTACTCCATGTCTTCTTAATAATTCAAGATAGTTATTGTAATCTGCCATACTGGCACTCATGCGGACACCTCAATTTTATTTATTATAATTAATAATGATGAAATGTTTAAATTCTTTCCTATCTGTTACCATATGGGTCATATTGTCTTGAGATTTCAATCAAAAATTCGTGAAACTTTTCTTCTCTTTTATACCTTCTTTTCTAATAAAACTCTGCCAGTTATCCATAGGGTTCCTTACTGCCAAAAACTGGAACGTTGTTCCTCACATCCCTCCATGACCACCACATTTTGCGTATGAGCCCCTGTGTCTGAAGAATTATACCTATGAGGGTATCCGCTTAGTAACCCTTTCGAAAGCCCCAAAAACTCAATAGCCATCAATGTACGGACCGACATGATATTTTCTCCTTGCTAGCTTCGCTTCATCTATTTCCATTTCTATTCCTACACCCCCAATCATATTATCACCTCTCACCATCAGGGCTTCAAGACAAATCTCCCAATAAAAATTTTACCAGTCTACAACTGTTCTGCAGGACATTTTTAGTTCTGACATAATATCAGCTTGCCAGGGATGACGTTCGACCAACCACATTTGAATAAATTCACATGTGGTCTTTAACAGAAGCTCATCACTTCCTGCATCATTCCTCCAGGAGCATCATTCCTGCAGCCAAGTGTTCCTTTTCATTGAAATCAAAAAATACACCTGACCATAATCCCATTAACTATTGTGGACTTGTTGCACCTGAAAATCATAAAGAAATCAAGTCAATTAATTCAATTGATGAAAGACATAATAATAATTAATGAAGCTATGTAGTGGTTCAGAAATGTAGATATTTTTTGCTAAAACATAACAGGACAATCTTTGTTGATAGAATTATTAAGTAAGCACTGATTCGAAGATCAGGTTTCCCAATTAAATTACTGATTTACATAGCATAAACCAAAGAAGGCACTCTGTCATACAACATGGTATCTGGATTTTTATGAGTTGAAGTTTTTGGCAACACCAAATTGTTTACGGCTGATTAAATGGGTCATTCATAGAATCTATAGGAAATTTGTTTCATTCTTTAATAGCAATGTTTGTATTAAGATAATGATAGTGCCTATAGGTTAAAGCGTTGTAGCAAACTTACAAGTTAGCATAGATAAAATTTTGTTAGATATCATGTTACTCAAGACTAATGTCTGCATTCAATGCACAGTATGACAAGAGATCTCGAATGGTCATTCCAAAAAGGCACTGTAATAGAACTACTGTAAATTATTAAAATGCAATAGTTATTGGAAAAGTAGAAAGAGGTTTGGAAAAGTAACATACTATTTTGAAAACAGTGAACATGTTTTAAAGATTAAAGATTTATTGAGTACAGTGAGGATGAGATGTTTTGATAATTTTAAAAACATCATCTAATAGCAAATTTATAGGAACATATAACGAATTATTTAAGAGTAAAACGTTGAGAAATGTAATAGAGAAAAACGTAGATGTTATTTTCCTCAAATAACAAAAGTTTATCAAAATTAGTCGGTTAATTAAAGTTACTAATAATTTCTTGTTTATCAAATAATAGTAATTCATTTTAATAAATTATGTAATAATATTTAATTACCTGAATACTAATTTGTCGGGAATCTCTACAAAATTTCCCACAATGTGGACAGGTGTACATGCCTCTCATTACTCCATGTCTTCTTAATAATTCAAGATAGTTATTGGGATCTTGCTCGTACTCCATTTTGAGATCATTATTAGTCATGAACCAATTCTCACAGTTCATTGTAGACAAAAAAAAAACTAACCGCTCTGTAGCGAAACCAACAACGAATTGGCAGTTTGTTTAAAATTAAACGGAAATGAACTCAAGACTGGAAAATCATGATGGTGGGGGAGTCGCGGGGGTAGTGATTTCGATGATGCCCACAGGCTTTCAGGATGGGAAAAGATACAGTGGCTTAATAACACAGTGGGGTCATATGGAGTCACTTTTTAATTGGTTGGCCATCTTGGTTCGTCCCTTGCTACGTGATTTCTGTATAAACACCTCAAAACTGTTCAACTTTCTTATTTTCTTGTATTTAAGTGATATATTTAAGTTTAAAAGTTTAATTTTGTTGCTTTGGGATATATTTAGTTTATTTATAGGTAATTTTTATTGAATTGTTATACGTTTTAGTGTTTAAAATGATAGGTTTGCTTTCATCTTCCATGGTAAGAATTATTATTTTCCTTATAACTGAAATTCTAAAACTGTTAATGTTTATTCTAGATGGCTCCACTATCATTTAATGATCATCAACTACACTCATATTTTTAATATTGCAAGTAACAATAACTATAAAAGAAAACCAAATTTCAATTTTATACTTAGTAGTAGTAATAGTAGCCTCAAATTATAGAAATTATCTTTTATAACCAAGTATCAAACTTAATTTCCATCTTTTTATTTCATAACCACTGGATTACAAGGAAAAATTAATGAATTAAAGTAAAAAATTATTTATGATTTAAGTCATTTCCGAAACCTGTAGGAACCAAATCAAGTCAGTAAGAGGTGATTTAAGAGAATTTTTCATAGAAAAAAATGAGTTCTGTTGATGCAGAATACATAATTAAAAAAAAAAAAAAAACCTGTACCACTACAACCCATGAAGGGTCTGGGGTTCAGTACTATTTAGGGAAAGCACTGTTTCTAGGTCAACGGTTGTGCAAGAAGGTTCACCGAAATCACGCTCAACCGCCAGGTTTTCCCCCTTAATCAATTATTTAATTAAGGGTACCCACTTTATAGAGGCTGGGTGTGCCCCAGGAGGGTCTCCCGACCCAGGGTCGCCCCACGGCCAATGAAACAGGTTTTATAAACATATGCAGCATACAATTAATATAATGCAATAAGATAAAAAATGTATATAAGTGTATACTCTGGATCTATAGGCCTTTTATTGCCCGAAGATATTTTAAGGCATGAAAGGAGAGATATGCGGTATGAATTTTTAGCAATTGTGGCACTAGGCCTTCTGCATTTCACAGAGCAGGAAGGGACTGCTTTGCTAGATTCATGAATGATCCTGTATGAGTCGCTTATAAACTATCATCTCATAAACTCATTCAGGATAACCGTTCTTTCCCCGCCCTGAAAGCCTGCGGGCATCATCGAAATCATTACCGCTTAAAGTTAAACATATCAGAACGTAAAAAAAAAAATAACATAAATTTTTGAAAAGATCCTACTGAAAAGAATCCTACCCATAATAGAATCCCATAAAATTTCTACCCTTCAATTCGGATTTCGTTCCCAACATTCCACTGTCCAACAAGGACTCCGAGTTGTCGACCATATATCCTCAGCCCTAGAAAAGAAGCAATACTGTTCGGGTGGATTTCTGGACATAGCACAGGCTTTTGACCGGGTATGGCACACTGGACTGCTCTTCAAGCTTAAATTCCATCTACCACAGTTATTATATCTAATATTCCGTTCCTATCTTTCTGACCGCTCCTTTGGTACTGTGGTACTGAATTCTCCAATTGTCATTTAATTGAGGTGGGAACTCCGCAGAGTAGCGTATTAGGTCCCATCCTTTACATTCTTTTCACCACAGATATTCCTGCCCATCCTGATACCCTCCTGGCAACATTCGCAGATGATACCGCTATCCTTTCAACCAACTCAGATCCTAAAACAGCGTCATTTAACCTACAAATGCACCTCTCCCTGATTGAACACTGGAGTAAGAAATGGCGCATTAAGATTAACGAATCCAAATGTAAACACATAACCTTCACCCTTTGTCGTAAACCCTGTCCATCAGTTTATTTTAACACCATCCAGCTTCCTTTCTCAGATACAGTCCGGCACCTTGGCTTTCTCTTAGACCGACGACTAATCTGGAACCCTCATACAAGACTTAAAAGATAGGAACTAAACCGACGATACGGCCAACTATAGCGACTACTAAACAGAAAACCTAAACTTTCCATTGAAAACAAGCTACTGATCTACAAGACAATACTGAAACCTATTTGGACTTACGGACTAGAACTGTGGGGAACAGCAAAATTTTCTAACATCAAGCGCATCCAATCCTTCCAGTCAAAAGACCTTCAAAAAAACAATAGTCGATGCTCCTTTCTATGTATCCAAAAAACCCAAATTATGACCTCAACATCCCATTTGTCCTAACCCTTATCCCAGAAAAATTCTCCAAATTTCACCAGACCCTTACGTATCATCCAAATCCTCTTGCACAATCCCTATGAAGCACCGCCCTTCCCTATAGTCCTCCAAGAAGGTTGAAACGGCAGTGGCCTCGCGACCTTTTGTAGATTGTATATATTGGATTTCTGGCAATGGCCAGATTCTCCACTCAGGACAAGAGTGTATTTTATTTTATTTATTTTATTTTATTTTCCTCCCTACCCTGCCTTTAAGACAATACGGGAGTTTGCAGCAGTGACTTGATACACATTGTATAACAAATCACTGTTGCAAGTTTATCTTTTACATATTAAATTGCTGTGCACACAGCCTGCTTGATAATTTTGTCGCTTAGTTTATTGTCCTCCATCTTCTTCTCCTGTCCTAATCAGCGGCCTTCCAGGTACTGCTTCTTCACGCCTTCCCAGGGAGAAGTGGGTTGGGCCCACAGTTTTTTTCCAGCCGCATACAAAGCTTTTAAAGTGAGGGTAGTTTTGTTCAGACATTAGTTGGGGTAATTGTCTTTCTGTAAGAACGAAAAGCCCTGTATCCCTCATTAATTTAGCCCTCAGTGCCTCATAGCTGGTGCAGGCTACAAGGATGTGCTCAGCGGTTTCAGATACTCCACAAGTGGGGCATAAGGGGTCGATATTTTTACCGTGTTTAAAAAGTTTCGCTCTGAAACCCCCATATCCCGTGAGGATCTGTGAGACCCAGTAGTCCGGGAGGACCCATTTCTTTTCTAAGCGCGATTTAATGGTGGGAAAGAATTTTCTTAGTGTGGACCCGTTTGGGGTTGTCACCCATCGCCGATTCCATTGTTCCAATGTATCCTCCCGGAGGATCATCTTCCATCTTCTGGGGTCATCACAAATCCTCTCCCGAATGTTTGCTGGTAAATCCGCCAAGTCATCCCTCTTGATGTTGTACCGATAAAGGTCTTCCCGCAGGAGGAGGTCGAGAGGAATACCTCCTCCTAAGGCCTGCACCGCCTCATGGGACACAGTTCTGTATGACCTGGTTACTCTAAGCAGGGCCATCCGCTGGATTGTTGCCAACTTGCGCTTCTGACGGTACGAGAGATTCCGGTTCCATGCGGGGGACGCGTATCTCAGGATACCAACAACTACTCCTTTATAAATGGACATAGTTGCTGGATATCTAAGGCCCCAAAAGGTTCCCCCTATGCGACTGAGACCATTAAGGGCTAATGTTATCCTATTTCGTAAATAATCCAAGTGAGGCGTCACGTTGAATTTTTTCCCAATCCTAATTCCAAGATAGGTGACTACCTCACTTGGACATATTCTTGAACCTTGTATCACCAAGGTTATGGGGTGTGCCCTATCAGTCGAACCTCTCAAGAGGATGGCCTGAGTCTTGGAACCCGCCATCCTTAACTTTTTTCTCTCACACCATTCTTCTACAAGGTTGGCACAACGTTCAGCTTCATATTTTAATCTGGCCCTGCTATTCGAGGCCACTACAACAGCCAGGTCATCTACATATGCAGTGGCGGGGAACCGCTCCTGTTCTAGCACTCCCAGCAACTCGTCAAACACCAGTTTCCATAGGGCAGGGCCAAGGACAGAGCCCTGTGGACAACCCCTTTCCACTGTATCTTCTACTTCATAGAAGCTACCTTTAATCTTCAATGTCCTATTGTGGAGATAGCTTCTGATCAAGCCATACAAGTTGCTGGGGGCTTCATGCCTTTGCAACTGCTGGAGTACGCTCGGCCACCAGACGCTATCGAAGGCGGATGATATGTCAAACAGGAGGAGCATAACATACTTCTCCGCCTTCTCTTCGACATCACGGCGCACTCTCAGCAGGGCATCTGCGGTTCCCCTGCCTTTAGAGGATCCGTACTGCCGTGGATGGCTCGCTCTCGAGAAGACTGGCCGTAGGCTGGTGAGTATCAGGTTTTCTAGCACCTTGCTCATGACTGGGAGGAGACATATAGGCCTATATGATTTGGCTAATTGCTTATCTTTGTCCCCTCCTCTGTAAATGAGCTTGACATTAGCGATTTTCCAGATTCTTGGGAAGTATTCCCTGTCTAGACAATCATTATAAATAGCCAGCAATCTTTCTTCTATATAGGGAATACTGTTCTTGAAAATTGACGCGTCAATGGTGTCTAAACCGGGGGCACTACCAGTCTTTTGCTTGTCCACGGCAGTGCGAAGATCCCATATGTCCCATGGTGGGCACAGGTCCGTGCCGGGAGGGTATACCGTAGTGCGTCTTACGAACTCCTCCTCTTCATTATCTTGGGATGGATCATCCCTGGGGTAAGTCTCTGCAATAAACATCTTCGCCGATTCTTCTGGAGTTTTAGCCTGAGTACCGTAATACTTTATGGCGGCGATTACTTGCATTGAAGTCAATTTACCCAAGGCTACTTTGTACGGGATACCCCAGGGGTTTTTAGATGATTCCTCAAACGATGAATTCATCCCAAGACTTACGTTTATGTAGACGCACCTCGTTTCGGTATACCCTGGCTTTAGACCTGTACTCGTCACGAAGAGTAGTGCGCCTCTCATCG